CAGCAGCGTCCTCCTCCTTGCACGACCGCACGTGCTTGCACTTCGCCTCTCAGCGCTAGCAGCAGCCCACGAGCTTCAGCTCCAGCAGCGCTGCCACCAGCATTCGAGTGCCCGAATGCCTGGCCAGGCAGCGAGATCTTTCCTATATGGAAAGAGCCTGCCTCATCCGGCAGCCTGGCTGGACTGACCTGGGCCGAGAAGCTTCCGGCAGGCCCCAGGATGCTGTGCCTCTCTTGCAGCTACTGGGCCTCATTCGGTTGGGCCTCCCAACTGTCTCTGTATGAGGCTGCCATTCTCGTCCAGGGCCTGCATCATTCCGGAAAGGCCTGAAAGACCGTCGAAGCTCTCGCTGCCCGGCCTGTGTTTTCCTCAACCAACTGGCGCGACGAAACTGCCTGAACCCCAAATACGAAATTGACAGCCGAGGGCCTCTCGTAATTTGTTAGGCCCGCCTTCACTTAGGGCGGGCACAGATGCAACAGGGGCCCTTAGGCCTGCCGAGGACCCAGATCCTCGCAAGAAGAATCCTGTCTCTCTCTGGCTGATGTGACCAGATATTGACCTGCGGAAACGTGGTACCTCGATGCAGGTACGGACGTGCTGAAGACGAAGCTGAGCTATGGCCTCACAGGTAAGCCGACAGGTAAGTCCCCTGGCCTCCACCTCGTCCTCCACTCCTCTAAGCCCTGCTGCAGTTCACTGCAGCCCAAGCTCGAAGCTGGTGTCATCAACATGAGAAGCGTCCAGCGCTGAAGTCTACTACTATTGCGCCCACCATGTCGACTACTCTACTCCAACTCTGTGTCTGTCTAGAGCAGCGCTGCTCAGCAGCGTGAAGAACTGCACCTCCGACTGTCTGTCCTCAAATGGGGTTGGCCCAGCTTCATATGCTGCTGGGCCTACTGCTGAAGTGAGCCTCCGAGCTGGAGGCAGTGACCAACTGGCAAGGCGCCCAGCTGAAAAGTGGCAAGATGTGGAATGGCGCCCAGGTGGAAAGTGAAAAGTATGGAGCCCTATCTGTGGAATGGCGCCCAGCCGGAAAATGGAAAGTATGGTGCCCAATCTGTGGAATGGCGCCCAGCTGGAAAGGAATGGCGCCTGGCTGAAAAATGGCAAAATGTGGAAAGGCGGCCAGCTGAATAGTGGAACGTGAAATGAACCAAGTTCTCATCAAGTTTCACCTCGCAAACATCAATGAACATTCATACGGAGTTCAAACGTGAGAAGACGAAGCTGAGATTCAATCAACACATGAGGAAGTCGTCTCCAAAAATTATCATTATTATACATTATACAAGAAATGTTATGTCTCCAGTGGCTCTGCCACACTCACACACTCAGGACTGATCTCAGCTGGAGGGCGACTATGGCTTATCTCTCTCTCTCTCCCTCGCTCTCTGCAGCTTAGCTCTTCTCTCTCACTTGGCTCGCTCTGCCTCATTCTCTGTCCCTACGCTAGATCGTAACCCTGGATACACACACTCTGGTAAGTTTCACACTTGGCGGTTATGGCCACCCTACTCCCTACTCCATCTACCCTAGCTATGGAGTAGCTCTCATGCGTCCCCTTCCTCCTTCAGGCGCGAAGTGCCCAAGTTGCCTTAACGCACAAGCAGCAGCAGTGCTTCTGCATCTTGCAACTGAACAAGTGATGAGGCGCTGCACTGTAGCAGCTAAATATAGGACTGGACTTGGCTTGGCCTGCTTCAGACCGGTACCGGTCGGCTGCGGCTTGTCTGCTGCAAACATTTTGTCGGTCTGGTAGCTTCCAGAATTTCCAGGGACATGCTGCAAAATTGGACATGGGACTTGAAACGGTATTCACCAGTTCGCAGTAGCTGATGCAGATCCCAGGGCTCGATCCCTAGTCCCCACCTTACCTGTGTACAGTACCTGTGTCAACCCGTAGAATTGAACCCGCGACCTGTAGGACTGCCAGTGGTAGGTAGGTCGTCGTAGGTTACAGGGTATAGGGGATTCGAACTGTACACCTGTCGGGTAGGAGTCTAGAGAGTCCAGAGGTCTTAGCTGTAGACTTTCCGAAGGGTCAAAGTCGTAGCTGCTACTTACCTGAAAGGGCAGAG